TAGAAGACAGTGTTAGCGGGGTGGCGAGCACTGAACTGCCTGCAGAGGCTGGCAGCGGCCACCAATCTCAGGGCGGGGCATGTGCCCCTCCCACCAGTCACCTCCACTCACCTCCACATATTGCCCCTAAACTTCACCACCCTTTAGAAATTCAACAACAGGCACATTCAAAATTTGTTAAACTCCCATTTCCTCCTTTCTGCGGCCACCCACCTCCAAGACAAACCAGCCCTCTAGCCAAAAACCTGAGGCTCATTCAAAAACAAAATCACACGTTTTTCGTAAACACTGTAATTTAGGGAAAGGGAGGAGGCAGATTTATACACTGCGGGGGTAATCAGCAGACAGGACAATTATGGAGATGAATGTGTGCGCTCCAGGATCATGGAATCATAGAAAGTTAGAGTTGGAAGGGACCTCAGGAGGTCATCTAGTTCAACCCCAGCTAAATCATCGATTTCATAGATTTCCTAAGCATTAGGGCTGGAAGGGACCTCAGAAGATCATCGAGTCCAGCCCCCCGCCCCAGGGGCAGGAAGTCAGCTGGGGTCAAAGCATTCCAGCAAGGTAAGCACCCAAACGTTTCTTAAGAGTCCAGAGCAGGTGCTTGCACCACCTCTGGAGGGAGTCTATTCCAGGCCTTGGAGGCTCGGACAGTAAAGAAGTTTTTCCTTATGTCCAGCCTAAAACGGTCTTGGAGGAGTTTGTGACAGTTTGACCTTGTCATCCCTTGGGGCGCTCTGGTCAACAGGCATTCCCCCAGATCCTGATGCACACCCCGTATGTACTTCTAGGCTGCCACCAGGTCACCCCGAGTCTGCGCTTTTCCAGGTTGAAAAGTCCCATAGCGCTCAGCCTCTCTTCATAAGGCCGGTTCTCTTGCCCTCTGATCACATGCGTGGCTCTCCTCTGGACTCTCTCAAGCTTCTCCACATCTTGCTGGAACTGTGGAGCCCAGAATTGGATGCAGTACTCCAGCTGCGGCCTCACCAAGGCCGAGTACAGTGGGAGGATGACATCCTGAGATTTACTTGAGAGCATCTATAGATGCCAGAATTTTGTTCGCTTTACCAGCTGCAACACTGCATTGGTGGCTCATGTTCATCTTGTGGTCAATCAAGACCCCCAAGTCTTTTTCAACCGTGGTGCTAGCGAGCATAGCACTGTCGAGCATATAAGCATGCTGCATATTCCCCCCCACCCCTGCCACGGTGGAGCACCTTGCATTTGTTGCTATTGAATGTCATCAGGTTTATATCCACCCACTTTCTAAGCCAATCCAGGTCAGCCTGGATTACCACCCTATCCTCAGGTGTGGAGGTTTTACCCCAAAATTTAGTGGCATCAGTGAACTTGGCCAGTCCACTTCTGACATCAGTATCCACATAATTAATAAAGACACTAAAAAGAACAGATCCAAGGATGGAGCCTTGGGGGGCACCACTGGTCACAGAGCACCGTGATGATTCACTTCTGCTGAGCGCCACTCTCTGGTCCAGCCTCAGAGCCAATTCCCCAGCCGTCGGACTGTGATGTAGCTAAGGCCACAGTTGGCCAATTTTTCTATGAGGCGATCATGGGACACCAGATCAAAGGCATTTTTGAAGTCCAGCTATATGACGTCAATCTCTTCTCCCCTGTCCAGGTGATACGTCAGCTGGTTAGAAGATGAGATTGGCCAGGCAAGACCTACCCACAACTAACCCGTGCTGGCTGTCCCTCAAGATGTTGCCATCAGCCAGCTTGTCACGAATGGGGTTTTTGATGATTTTTTTTCCAGAATCTTTCCAGGGATTGAGGTCAAGCTGATTGGCCTGTAGTTCCCTGGATTTACTTTCCTCCCTTTCTTGAAGAAAGGCACCACACTGGCCTTCTTCCAATCTTCAGGTACTTCACCTGAGCGCCATGAGTTTTCAAATATCTTTGCCAGTGACTGGGCTATGATGCCTGCCAGCTCCTTAAGTACTCTGGGGTGCAAACTGTCAGGACCAGCTGACTTGAAGGTGTCCAGCCTCTCAGCCATCCCAGCCAAAGTTTTGTCCAGCCGGGTCTTGAAAACCTCCAAGGATGGAGATGCCACCACCTCTCTGGGGAACCTGCTCCAGCGTTTCACTACTCTCATGGTGAGAAAATTCATCCTATCTAACCAAAACTTCCCTTGTGGCAACTTCAGATGGTTGCTCCTTGTTCTGTCATCTGACACCACTGAGAAGAGTTCAGCTCCATCCTCTTTGGAGCCATCCATCAGGTGGTTGGAAAGCTTCTATTAAATCCCAGTCTTTCAGACTTTCTATTAAATCTAAGTCTTTTCTTCTGTAGACTAAATAAGCCCAGTTTCCTCAGCCTATCCTCATAAGTCATGTCCCCCAGCCCCCTCACCATTTTGTCACCCACCACTGGACTTGTCTCCAATGTGTCCACATCCATTCTGCAGTGCTGGGCCCAAAACTGAATACAGGAGTCCAGATGTGGCCTCCCCAGTGCGAAACAGAGGGAAATAATCACTTCCCTTTACCCACTGCCAACACACCTACCAATGCAGCCCAGGATGCTGTTAGTCTTCTTGGCAACAAGGACACGCTGCTGGCTCATATTCAGTGTATAGTCCACTGCAACCCCAGGGCCTTTTCTGCAGGATGAGTTAACTTCTTGAAGTAGCCCCTACAGGACACTCACGGAGCCAAATGGCTTTGGCACTAGCAGGGAAGCCTCAGTATTCCCAATGGGAAATTACAACATGCTGCATTTCACCCACAGGATGGCTTCATACTTTCCCCACCCTTCCATAGAAGAGGCAGGACTTGTCACAGGTTGCACCTCCTTTACCCTATCACATTTAACCCAGAAAAGGCACTCTACTTCCCCCTGGCCAAAGGTTCATTCAAAACAGCAGGGTCCTTGGCAGCACAGTAGGACATCGGTGTGATGCCTCAAACGTGACCAACTCCTGCTCCTGAGGCTTAGCAAAACCCCTTGAATAGTGGTGAATCCTCTGGAAAGGAAAGGGGCTGACAAACCACAGAGAGAACCACCATCTTCCATGAAAAGGGTTCTGGGCCCTGGTCTGTTCCCATGTCAAGCTCTGGAGAGGACACAGAGACCAGCCACAGGGGTATCATGTTAAGTTGTGGGGCGTGATTACCAAGGAATCTGTTATAGAGAAGGGCATGAAGGGAAGGAGGGTAGGGGGGCAGCTTGCACCTGGTGGTGCAGTTCTGATGAGAGGCTGAAAAGCTAAATCTTGACAAACTGGGTTTACTGGGTGGCAGTAGCAGTTTCTTGCAGACTGCGATGGGTAAGTGCACGCCTGAGAGAGGGGTGATGTGGTGGGGAGAAAAGGCATGGTCAGGGTGGAAGGCAAGGAATGCTTCCCTAGCAAAAAATGTCCTCCTTCTTGCAACTGTAGAGCCTCGAATACAAGAACCCTGGGCCCAGGAGAAAAGTTGAAGCTGGGAGTCGGTCAAAGACAGTCCCTGGGTGTCACCTGGAGCCAGCTGTCTTGGGGAGGGCACCTATTCTGGAGGCACTTCTTCTCCCCCTGGGAGCACTGGCTGCTTTTAGAGAATGAGGAGGCTGATGCAGAGATCATCTCTTCACAGGTTCCCACCATCCAGACTGGCCTCTACCTGAGAGGTTTCCTTTTAAACCCTCACACACATCAAACCTCTGTGTCCTTCGGCTTTTGCAGTGACCTAGAAAGGCTGAACAAAAAGTGAACTCTTGCTGCACTGCACCAGCATGAGGCTGCTTCCTTGGATGCAGACACTGGTGAGTGCTGAGCAGGTATACATCTCCAAATCCTTCCTGTATTGCTGGCAGAATTAAGGACACTCCTGGATAGGGATGCACTGGTGCTGGGCCAGTTTGGAGGAGTGGAGGAAGCACTTCCCGCACCCTAAGCACTGATATGTTTTCTTCTCTGTGTGGATAAGCTGGTGCCGAGCCAGGCTGGAGGAGTAAGTGAAACTCTTCCCACACTCCGAGCAGTGATATGGCTTCTCCCCTGTGTGGATACGCTGGTGCTGAGTCAGGTTGGAGGAGTGAGTGAAGCTCTTCCCGCACTCAGAGCACTGGTGTGGCTTCTCCCCTGTGTGGATCAGTTGGTGCTGGGCCCGGTTAGAGGACAGGGTGAAGCTTTTCCCACACTCCGAGCACCAATGTGGTTTCTCTCCCGTGTGGATGAGGCGGTGTTTGGTCAGGTCGGAGGACAGGGTGAAGCTCTTCCCACACTCTGAGCAGTGATGTGGCTTCTCCCCTGTGTGGATACGCTGGTGCTGAGTCAGGTTGGAGGAGTGAGTGAAGCTCTTCCCACACTCTGAGCACTGATACGGCTTCTCTCCTGTGTGGATCAGGTGGTGCTGGGCCAGTTTGGAGAACTGGGTGAAGCACTTCCCACAGTCTGAGCACTGATGTGGCTTCTCCCCTGTGTGGATGAGCTGGTGCTGGGCCAGGTTGGAGAACTGGGTGAAGCTCTTCCCACACTCTGAACAGTGATGTGGCTTCTCCCCTGTGTGGATACGCTGGTGGTGAGCCAGGCTGGAGGACTGAGTGAAGCTCTTCCCACACTCTGAGCACTGATATGGCTTCTCCCCTGTGTGGATGCGTCGGTGCTGGGCCAGGCTGGAGGACTGAGTGAAGCTCTTCCCGCACTCCAAGCACTGATGTGGCTTCTCCCCTGTGTGGATACGCTGGTGCCGAGCCAGGCCTGAGGAGTGAGTGAAGCTTTTCCCACACTCCAAGCACTGATATGGCTTCTCCCCTGTATGGGTACGTTGGTGCCAAGCCAGGCCAGAGGAGTGAGTGAAGCTCTTCCCACACTCTGAGCACTGATACGGCTTCTCCCCTGTGTGGATCAGCTGGTGCTGGGCCAGGCTGGAGGAATGAGTGAAGCTCTTCCCACACTCTGAGCACTGATGTGGCTTCTCCCCTGTGTGGATACGCTGATGCTGAGCCAGGCTGGAGGAATGAGTGAAGCTCTTCCCACACTCTGAGCACTGATGTGGCTTCTCCCCTGTGTGGATCAGCTGGTGCTGGGCCAGGTAAGTGGATCGGGTGAAGCTTTTCCCACACTCCAAGCACCAGTGTGGTTTCTCTCTTGTGTGGATGAGCCGGTGTTTGGTCAGGTAGGAGAAATGGATGAAGGTCTTCCCACACTCTGAGCACTGATGTGGCTTCTCCCCTGTGTGGATAAGCTGGTGCAGAGCCAGGTTGGAGGATCGGTTGAAGCTCTTCCCACACTCTGAGCATTGATGTGGCTTCTCCCCTGTGTGGATGAGCTGGTGCTTGGTCAGGTTGGAGAACTGAGTGAATCTCTTCCCACACTCTGAGCATTGATGTAGCTTCTCTCCTGTGTGGATGCGCTGGTGCCTCTTCCCACACTCTGAGCACTGATGTGGCTTCTCCCCTGTGTGGATACGCTGGTGTTGAGCCAGGCTGGAGGAGAGAGTGAAGCTCTTCCCACACTCCAAGCACTGATGTAGCTTCTCACTTGTTTGCATGCACCAGTGCCTGGCCAGGCTGGAGAGCTGCCTGAATCTCTTCCCACACTTGGTGCAGCAGTGCTGCACACACTGGTGTTGAGACAGGTCTTGCCAGCAGATGAAGTTCTTCCTGCACTCAGTGCAGTGGTGTGTCTTCCTGCCCAGGTGGATGGACAGCTGCTGAAACAGGGATAAAAAAGTAGGTGAAGGTCTTGCCACACTTGACACAGCTGTGCTTGATGCTTCCCCCTCTGCACATGCAGGTGCTTGACCAGGTCTGCAGACACACAAAAAGCTTCCCCATTTGGTGAAGCAGCAGGGTACCTCTCCAGAATGGGTCTGGTGGTGAGCAGCCAGGGTGGACAGGCAGGTGAAGCTCTTCCCACACTTGGTGCATACATGGGACCCAGTGTACCTTATCTTGTGAAGAGCCAGGAGTGATGGGCACTTAAAGGTTTTCCTGACCTTCAGGCAGAGGTAGGCTCTACCCTTGTGCTTGGCAGTAAGCTCCTTCTTCCCTCTGAGGCCCTCCCCACAGCCTTAGCTTGGATGCTGTGCCTCTTTCCAGTGTCTATCAGCTCCACAAATTCTTCCCTACGCCCAGGGCTCTTTCTAAGATCTGCCCCTTCTCCACTCTCATGCTCAACTGTAGATGGTACCTGGTTCATCACATTCTCCTTTTGCTTTTGAGCTCTTCCATGACTCTTATGCCACTGCTCCTCTGGTCTCAGGGAGCCCATCGTACCCAAACTTCCTGGGGAAGCCCATGCTGGCTCCAGGTCTGGAGACCCTTTTGCAGGAGGCTGATCCTCAGCTCTGCTCAGCAGCCAGGCACCTCCTGCATGGGGAAAAGAAACTCCAGCTGACTGCCTACCTTGTTGGTAAAGAGTATGGCTTGGGGACCAGATCCAGCCTGGGGAGGGGCTGTGTCCAACCCATAGCGGGTTCCTTGGTCCTGCCTGGCCAAGGCACCACCCAGTTGTGTCGTGTCCTGTTGCCCCTGGGCATGCAGTGGGGCTGAGATGGCTCCACAGTTGGGCTGCCTTTCTAGGCAGTCTGGGCGGTGGCAGCTCCTTCTGGCTGCTGCCAGCCCCACAGTAGCAGCAGGTACCATTGCACACAGCCCTGACCCTGCGTGCCAGCCCTAGACTCGCCCATCTGGGCTGAGCAGCAGCAGCACAGGAGAGAAACTGCTGCTCAACACAGGGCAAAGTGGCACCTCTCCCTCCCGTTGCAGGCACTTCCAGATTTAGCTGTCCAGACCCCGTGCAGGGCTGTCCTGAGTCTCTACTGTGCCACCCCTGCCTCCGAGCTGCCCGGTAGGGCAGCGGTGGCAGTACAGAGCAGACACAGAGCAGTCCCACACAGGCTCTGGGTGGCTGTACCAGGAAGCACTGGCAGTGGCCGCTTTTACCCTGCACTGAGCAGCAGTTTCTCTCTCGTGCTGCCTGTGGCAGCACAATAGGGGGTGCTATTACACAGACACCCACCACACTGTGCCTGGCCAAAAACTGCGCCTTGGGAGTCTCCCTCAGAGAGCCTACAGCCAGCTGTCCCTCTTCCTGGAGAACCCCTGCAAGCCTGCAGTAACGCTGCCACCACCTGGGCACTAGTCTCTGGCAGGGCTCTGCACAGCCTGGGGCACACGGACGCTGCAAAACTAGGGGGTGCTTTGCCCACAGTAATATTTCCATGTGTTTCTTTCAGCCCAGAGCATCCCATGATAGCATTAGGAAGAACTGAGAGAAGATAAAAAAAGACAAACTTTGCTGGCCAGGCAGGGGGTGGAAGGTCTCTCTCCGTCTCTCATTCTCTCTCCCTGTGTGCAACAATGCAGGATGTAACCCAACACCCTTGTTGATTGGGGGGGGGGGGTCAGTGTGTTGAACAAGGAAGTCAGAATACACTTTCAGCAAACAAAAGCAACTTGCTTGCTTTTCTTTAAGGAGACTGGATACAATGACCCTTTTAAGATATGACTTGCCTATACATGATTCCTAACTCCTGCAGGTCTCCAGGTTTTTACCTACAGAAATCACCAGGCCACGGCCTGGGGTACAAGTTTGTAGTTTCCAGGTGCCCACCGGAAGGAAGAGAGTGATCCTCCCTTCCCCTAAGAATTTTATCTAGCCAGGTCACCTGATTCACCACCCTGATCCAAGAGGAGCATGGAGGGAGAGGGGTCACCTGGGCTGACCCAAGTGAGGGTCAGAGAAAGGGGGAGATGATTTCTTCATACCACTGCTGTTGAGCCTGGGCCCCAGCAAGAGCTCCAGGATGGGCAGCAGCAGCAGTGGCAGCGCCAGGAAGAAACTGTTGCTCATTGCAGGTGGGAAAGTGGCACCTTTTCCACACCAAAAACAGGCAGTTTTTGGTGTGGTTGCCCAGAGCTCGCGTCATGCTGGGCTGCCCTGAAGCTCTGTCACCGCTGCCTCTGGGCTGCCCTGTGTGGCAGTGGTGACAGTGTGGAACAGCCACAGGGCAGTCTAGAGGCACTGGTGACAGAGCTGGAGGGCAGCCTGGCATGGCACGGGCAGCCGCAACAAAAACTGCCTGCTAGTGGGAGGGCAGCTTTTCCCCCACAACGGGCCACAGTTTCTTCCTGGCTGCTGCTGCTCAGCCCAAAGCTGGCATGAGGCATGTGGGGTTGGGGGCAGCAGTGTCAACAGCCAGAAGCAGCCATCCTAGCTGCGCTGCATGCCCAGGGGCAGTAGGACACGCCAAGGCCGGGCAGAGCACGCTGCGCTGGGACTGCACACTTTTGGCAGTAGCAGGGGAGGCGCTGCAGGGTGAGTCGGCTCTGGGCTGTTGTTGGGGTGGAGGATGACCGGCTCAGAGGGGTGTATGCAGGGGGCTTCCATGCACACCCCACATACCCCACAACCACACCATCCCCCACACATTCATACATCCCATAAACACTGCACCTACCCACACCCTGCCCTACACCCCTCTCCCCACTCACACCTGCAAGCCTCTGGGGGGGATCCCTGCTCACTACTACATGCACACACCACACATACACACACGCCCAGCCACCCTCCCCCTTCATAAAACCCACAGCCCTCTACTTATCTCCACAAACACCCCACACCCACCCATACCCCCACACCCTCCTCCACACCCCACATACACCCATCCACTCACACACCCACAGCTGCCCACAAACCCTATACCTACCCACCCATAACCCTCCACATCCTTCGCACTATACAAGGATAAGACTTCATTTTGAGCTATTATACAATCACTGCTATATATACACAGCAGAAACCCAACAAATCAGGACAAAAATATATATATTTTTAAATAAAATTAAAATATATTGTTACAGATATTCGATTTTTAGTAAATAATTTCTGGGTTTTTTCCCCCCTGTTTCCAAGGTGGCAAATCCACTTCCCAAAAGGAGTACTTCTGGGGGGAAGGGAAGGGACTTCTGGTGGCAAAGGCCAGAGGTTAGGATGGGACTTTGGTCCCAATATGTCGACCTGGACATGAGGCCGCCTTTGCAGCCCTCCACAGATCACCAAAATTTGTTAAACGGCCCTCCAGCCAAAATAATTGCCCAATCCCTGCATTACAGCATAATACACTGTGTCTGAGGTCAGCACCCTGGAATGGCAGAACAGGGCAGGCCTCCAGTTTCCAGGTCCCCCTGGCACTCTGGTCATGGAGATTTACTGAGAGCAGAGTCAGGTGGAGGGGACAAACAACTCACCTAGCAGCAAGTCCTCATCATCCTGAGATTTCCCCATGAATCCTGAGATTTCCCCACGGTCCTCACCATCACAGACCCAGAGCTCCACTTGTCCTTTCTGGATGCTGCAGATTAAGTCAGGTGTGGGTCCTCGATATCCTGTTTGGTTAAAGAGCATTTGTGACTGGGTACTGGATTCAGAATAACCAACCGGAATTTGGGGAATAGATCCAATGAACTCAAGGTGTCTACTAAGGCCTTGATGGACAAGGGAGAATGGGCAGTTAAGATGAAAGAGAAGGCACTGCAGGGAGAAGCCTTCAAGAGATGATGGTCCTCGTCATCCAGGTGGTAGAGGGCTGGTAATGGGAAACAAAGAATGAATCACTCCTGACTTAGAAAGGGCATTAAACTGACAGTAACCAGGGACAAGAGTGGAGATGCAATGATCTGTGATGTACTGGGAAGTAAAAATACACAGCTTTCACTGTTTTCAAGGTACCAAAGAGAAGAAATATTGGACACACTTATCGATGGATAACATTTATCTTATCAGTGTGATTCCAGGAAAAGGAGTGAAAATGAGCTTAGTGAAGGGATTTGTGGCAGTGAAAAGCATGCATGACAGGTGGCTGACAATGAGACCTTTTTTCTGGAGGAGAAGGTAATTCATCATGACCAGGGCCAGGAAAGGATGATTTCATAACAACTCATAATAACTGATGAGCAATCATCCCAAGCATTGGGAGGATCATACCAGAAGGGGAGATGAGTGCACAAGTTGGCAACTACTACAGGGTTTAACAAAGTCCCTGGGAGTCATAGATATGGACAAAGGAAGGAAGGAAGCACATTTCACAACATGTGAAAGGCCATAATATAGAAGTGGTCAATATGGTCTTTGTTGAGCTAAAGAAAACATTAAAGCACTTCCCTAAGGAAATCCTCTGGGTGAAAGGGAGGGAAAAGAAAGCACCAGAAAAGCAAACTGACTTAGTAAGAGGTCAGTACCTCAACCCTGCGCACAAATCAGAACAAGCCCCTGTATAAGAGATCTTCTGGAAAGGAAAACTGGGTTTCACTAGGTCCTGCAGCTAGCCCACTTCTTTTTGTCACAGTGATGGGTATCTGATCTTCAGAGGGATATTAGGAAGAACACAAGAAAATGTTTGAGAATGGCAGAGAGAACTTGAGAGCACAGGTCTTAAGAGAAATACAGCCAAGCCCAAGTCTCTGATGTATAGAGATGAAGATGTTAGGAAGGGATGTGGGCAGAAGCTTCCAGTGACCCATGGCTAGAAGTACCTGGGTATCATCACGTCTACATATGTCACTAGAGGAGGAGTTGAGGAAATGCATCATCCACCTGTTGTAGCAGCAGAGCCTGATAAGACTTTCTATTAACTTCTGCTGGGTCATAACAACAGGAGAAAGGGGATTTAGATCTCACAGAACTGAGCATGCTAGGATTCTTAAAAGTGTTTGGAGAGGACACAATAGGACAGGCAGGGAAGAAATCAGAATCATTCCCCAAGGAACAGCTCTCAGTGCATTTATGTACAATGAACTGGAGATATGAACATGCTGCAAAGGCAAAGGGAGATCATGTTATCAAGAAACGGCTGCATGTGGAAAAACTAGGAGTTATAAGAATGGGGAAGACACAAGTGAAGGCGGCTGGATCAAATGAAGGCAGATATATCAGTTTGAAATGTGAGAGAAGTCTGATCACTGACAGAGCAGCGGGAAGAAGTGGATTAAAACCCGCAGCCATAAGTTCATGAGGATGAGACTGTTGAAACACAGATGACTACAAAACTCCAGAGCTCCCATAGCTCCAGGGAGAAGCAAGAACCAGAGCTTTACCCAGGGAAACGAGGGCTTGGTAATTCTTCAGCATCTGGTCCTGGTAAAGCACCTTGTCGTCATCGTCCAGCAGCTCCCACTCCTTCCGTGTGAAATACACGGCCACGTCTTCAAACACCTCCCAAAGCTGCAGTCACAAGCGTTACACCATCAGTGTCTCCTCTTCCAGCTGCTTCCAGCCCCCACAGCCCTGTCTGGGATCACTCTGTGCTACAACTAGTTGCAATCATGGCCATGACAGGTAAGGGCACACACCATTCCCCAGTCTTCAGCTGACATGCGATGTGGATGCCGCTGTGGACCCAGGCGTTCATGTGTCACAGCTTTAGCCCAGCTCATCACGTTCTATTTTGCTCAGTCCTTTGAGCCTGGGCAGCAGTTTTAGGGCAGGGATCCCTGGCTCCATGCATTGTAACCAGGCCTTTCCCACGCCACACCCCACCTGGCTTTCTACACGTGGGAGGGAGCTCCTGCTAATGCAGCTTGGTGTGTTTGCAGCCTCTGTCACCACAGGCTTGTCTCTCTGCTCCCCAGATTCCTACAGCACCCCTGGCTCCTCCTGCCCTCTGCCCCAGCTCTACTCCCACCCACGACTGAACCAGGTGCCCTGCTCACCTCCAAGCTCTCCCCCTGCTTTGGAGGCCTGCCGTGCCCCCTCCGCACTTGGCCCAGCTCAGATGTCAGGGAGCTCCTCTCCATTCCCCAGTCTTTAGCTGAAACGTGATGTGGATGCCACTGTGGACACACGAGTTCACGTGTTGGCTTCAGCCCAGCTCATCAGGTTCTGTTTGCTTGGGCATGGAGACAGGGGATCGCGGCTCCGGCCCGGC